CGAAGCACGTATCAACGACGAGATAAACAATCGAAAAATCTTGGAACATAAAGAGGCATAAAATGTTCCACGTGATAGAAAAGTGAAACTGCAATTATCTCGTTGAAAAATTTATATACTAAAAATTTTTATATTGTAATACATATTTGTTTTATACGACGATCTTTTTTTGCTATTTTTACATTTACTATTAACTGTGTCAATAACACTTCTTTCACGTCCTTTCCCTTAAAATTAGGTTTTGTAATGAATCATATAAAAAATAATTATAAATATATATATATATTATAATTAGCCTTTTAATTAAGATAATTGTATCTAAAGTGACAACTTTTGATAAAGATAATTTTCTGAATTTTCTGAAATATGTGTTATTTGTAACGTCTTGTAGATATCTTTGTTATCAACGTAAGTTATGCATATAGGCATATATTAACAAGCTTTTTTATCCACTATATATAACACATAATATATTATCAGGAATTTTAATAGGATTTAAGAGTGCCAGTCAAGCAAGATGATAATGAGACGAGTGTCTGCGGGTTGAGTTAGGTTGATTCTGATTAAAGTGTGTCACGTCACAGCAGTAGCGAGTAATAACTCGTAGAATGTGTTTATATTCTTGTGCTGCTTGTATTTCAAAAAATAGTAAGCTAATATATATGCCATTTTAGAACGCGTATTCGGCATACATCATTATAATTTGGCGTGGAGCACAGAATACAAGTTAAATTGTTTGGAATTCTTTTTATTTTGAAGCATAAATAGAGTGAACATGGCTGGTAATTTTCCAGATACCGTAGAAACAGGTAAGTGTGAAGAAAAATTAAAAGTACTAATATAAATACAGTTATAATAAATACAGTTAAATTGTATTTATAAATTTATTTCATGTATCAAAGAAACTCTTAGATTATATAAAAAAAAAAAAAATCCCAAATCTCAGATTATAAATGTATTTTAATCCTCAACAGAATTATTATAATAGAATGCTTTCAATTTTTTGCGACATAAGAAACATTATTATAATTAGTAGTAATATAAAAACACAAGATTTTGTGTTCAAAAATCTCTCTTCGCATAAAGTAATATTATTCAAATATAATAATGTTTTTTTAAATGCAAATATAAACAGATCTTACAATATTAAATGTTTAATTATTTATTATTACATCTGCAGTGTTAGGAAGTATACGATTATCCGAACTCGGCAAAACGTTAACGCATGAACATTTGGCTCTTGATTTCCGTAAATTTTACGTACCACCACCGAAGCATATCGAAAAACATTTTTCCAAAGATCTGCATCTCGCGAATATCGGATATATCAGGCAGTATCCGTAAGTCAAATAAAAAAATATATCTTTTTACAATAGATATTCAAAATTATAATATTACGAATAATCCTAAATAAAAAATGTACATGGCACTTGATGGTGAAAAGTTTTAAATGTTAATATCGAGATATAAAAGAATGATATTATTATATTAATAATATTCTTTAACGAGTTAATAAAACGACTTTGCATATGTAATTTGTTTTCGTTAAACATTCTGGAAAAATTTTGAAATATATTAATATCTTGTTGATATTTTCTTAATTAGGATTTCTTAATTAAGCATTTTTACTTACAATATAGCAAAGATATAGCATTTTTCTTTTTCATTTAAAATTATGATATATAATAAAGTTTGATGTATGAGACAATCTTCATAATTTTTATAATTATATATCAGTAATCAAACTAATGAATAAATATTGTTATAAAAATGATAAATGATTAATACATTAAATATATTGATTCAGATATAGTAGTTTGAGTAATTTGGAGTTTTATGACGACCACGCGGAGAAAGCTGTCCATATGGATGTAAAATTATTCAAAGAAGCTGGCGGTGGGACCATCGTTGAAAACAGCAGCCATGGTTTGAAACGTGACATTCCTTTAATGAGAAATGTTAGTCAGTCGATGAAAGTTAATGTGATCGCTGGAACCGGTATGTTTTTTTACTATATTATTATTATTATTATTATTATTATTATTATTATTTCTAAATGCTATATATACATAATTTTGTATCTCGATAGGTTATTATGTTGCCAGTACACAAACTGCATCGACCCTCGACATAACGAAAGAAGAAATGTATAATCTCATGTATAGAGAATTGGAAGAGAGTTGCGTGGGGTGTCCCAACGGGTTGGAGGTAAAGGCTGGATTTATCGGAGAAGTCGGCAGCACTTGGCCGATTGAAGGTACATAGGTATACACATTAGCTTGCTAAATATTTTTTTTTGTGTGTTGTTTTTATTTATTAGAATGAAATATAAATAAATGTAAAAATGTATATCAAGACGTTGAGGAGACAAGAAACCAGAAAACAAAGCACAAAAAATGCAACTAAAACAAAATGACATATATAATTTATTAGACTACTTTTACGTTATAAAAAGTAAATCTCGCTTAGTAATAAAATAAATATAGTTAAGATTAATTAATAATAAACATATTAAATTATATTTTAAAATAATACTGTATTTGTAATTAGATTTTGAAAAACGTGCTATTTCTGCGACTGGTGAACTTCAAGCGCAATTGCATTGTTCTGTGAGCTTTCATCCCGGAAGGGACGTGTCTGCACCTACGGAGATAATGCGGATCTATCAAGAGGCTGGTGGAGATCCTACCAGAGCCATCATGTCCCACATTGATCGTAAAATTTATAGATTTTTTTTATTATTTTTTATAATTAGATTATACACCAAAAATATTTCTCTGAAAATGCGTTAATTAAATAAATTGTATAGGTACGTTAATCAACAAGGAGCAGCTCATGGAATTTGCCGACGATAACAAATGCTACATCCAGTTTGATCTGTTTGGTATCGAGTGTTCTTATTATCAGATGAATCCATCGGTCGATATGCCATCAGATGCACAGCGTATCAAACGCATCGCACGTCTGAAGAAGGAAGGAAAACTGCACCGTGTTCTTATGAGTCACGACATTCACACGAAGCACAGACTAGTACGTATTTTTTAATATCTTTATTAAATTTTATATAATAAATTTATTTATTTATAATTTTGCTTTTATGAATTAATTTTAATTTTATTTAACGCATTTTTCGTCTCATTTTAATTTCAATTTATAGAATTAAATAATAAGTTAATTTAAATTAAGATTAAAGTTAAATTGATGATTAAAACGCTTGAAATTATTTTATTAATTTTTAAGATACATTTCGGCGGCCATGGATATTCTCATATCGCAAATAATATTCTGCCAAATATGATAAATAAAGGTTTCACGATGGAAGAGATCAAATTAATAACAGCTGAAAACCCAAAGAGATGGTTTACTCGGCAATAATCTACTTGCGCAATAGATGTTATATTGTTCTTTATAATATAACATTGTATTTTTTCGATTATTGTTTGTAGATTGCTACGATAATTTTTATTTTTATTATCGTTCTGTATTAAAACTGTATTTTTAATTCAAAATAATATGACTTGTATTGTATTTACAAGATATAAAAATTGATATCTATAACAAAGAATAATTGTTCACATTTTTTGTACTTTGAAATTACAAACGCGTACGACATATTTAATTTTTGAAACGTTTTATTGTTTATTAGTCAATAAATAATTTATAATATAAGACTTGCTATTTCATAAAACAACAAACATATATATTAGAAATACTAATCATATTATATAGATCGAAGGATTTATTCGAGTTTGTATCTTCACCAGTTATTTATACTTGTTATCATCAAAATAAATACGTATTCCAATGTCAGTTGAGTATACATAATAAGTTTAACGATCAGAATATCGAAGCAAGTAACATTCAGCTTAGATGCTTTTAGAAAGTGTACTTGATTACATCTGTAATATAAATCCGTGTACTATAAATTCTTTGTGTTTAAAAAATTGAGTGAAGATAGAAAGCAGTGCCCTTATAATGGATGGTAATTACGTGGAAACTGGTAAGAATGTGTAAAGAAAAATTTTAAAGTAATTAAATGATATATAATGCAATAAATTGTATTTACATATTTTCTCATATGGATTCTGATATATTTTTCCGTCGAATATTTTATCTTTATAATTCAAAGATTATTATATTTTTCTAATTTTTTGCGATTTTTTGCGATCTCCCAAGTATGCGAATTATCCATCTTATAAACACTTATTATTTACGTTTTGTGGTGTGTGTAGTACTGGGATCTACGAGAATGTCCAAACTCGGCACAGTATTAACGCACGAGTACTTACTAAACGATTTTTCCAATCTCTACAGTCATTCTTCGGGACAAATATATGATTTTAAATCCTCTTCTTTACAGAATTTCGGATATGTTAGACAGTATCCGTAAGTAAAATTAGAATATCTTTCGCATCTCAGAATTTTTCTCTAAACGTGAATGTCCTTCAAGTTTGTAATATATGTTTAAACGACAGATGTTTGTGTGGATATGTGTATATCGAAATAATATACGAAAAAATAGCTTATAATATCAATATAAGAAAAGTCAGTTTTGTTATATGACATTCTTCAATGATAATAAAGTAACATTTTAAATGTAACTTAATAATTAGATCAATGTTTTACAAATTTCATAATGTTTATATATGTAATTTGTTTTTAGAACGTTTTAGTTATAAAAAAATGAAATATGCATCTCAACACATATTTTGTGAAACATTCCACTCTGTCGTATAAAACAGCTCCATATAATTTTAATTTTTATGTGTTTCCTTATAATTACATGCGCATCGATAAATTATTAAATAAATATTGTTAAGAAAAATATATGTAAATATGTATTTAATGAAAAATATATATTACAAATTAGATATAGCCATCTGTATAATCTGCGGCTTAATGATGAAGAGGGAATAAATGCTACTATTAATGATGTGAAGTTATTTAAAGAAGCTAATGGTGGAACTATCGTGGAGAAGAGCAGTTGTGCCAATCGCAATATTCGTTTATTGAAATCGATTAGCAAAGTGACCAAAGTTAATATAATTATTGGTACAGGTATGACTGTGTGCACAGGGTGTATACTATATATACTGTAATATTATATATACAATATCTTTCTAAATTCTTCGCGCATGAGATGTGTTTTTTCTCAGCGAAAATATAAGTTGAGTCAATGTTTTTTGCGTGAGGATTAAAAATAAGAGGCTTTTCATATGTTAGAAAATATAAATAAATAACATACTATATATTTTTTTTTAGCTAATTTTTTAAAATAAATCTTAATAAAATTTTAACTTATTACTTAATGAGTAATTATATAGAGACATTATTACAGTAAAATTTGAAAAGATGTGATAAATATGAATTATCCTCGATATTTTCGCCAGTGATTGAATGCACAACTTCTATGTATTCTCAATGATTTGTAATACGAAAATTGTCACTTTGAGACACATTGTTCGACACTCATTAACTTCTAGAATGCATTACTAAAATGTACAATAATTATATATGAGACTCTGTACAATAATCTATCTCATATCTTTAAAATCAAATTCTTATTCACAAATTAAAGTAATTATCTCAATTGGCCAAAAAAGATATTTTCATACATTACAAATAAATATATGGCTAATTTCGATTTCTCATATTATCATTAATTATATCATTATTATATTCCTGAATTATCATTAATTATATCATTAATTATCTTATATTTTTCAGGATATCATATTACTGATACAGACAATGCATTGACTTGCACTACAACCTCAGAGGAAATGTACAATCAAATATATGATGAATTTGAAAATGGTTGTAAAGATTATCGCGATATGAAGCCAGCATTTATCGCAGATGGCGGCAATATTCTTCTAGGTACACGTTTACATATAAAAGAGAAAAATATATATATATATAGAAAATATACAATTATAACGTTATTATAATTTATTTTAAAGTAGTTGTGTTGCGAAATATATATCTCAGTCTCTCTCATTAATATATATATATAATAAATCTAATTAAAATTATATCCATTAAAACATTTCTCTTATATTTTTATTATATACAGTGGCTTACAGAGATATATTCGAACGATGTGATTCATTTACAAATAAAATATAGATTGATAATTGCGTTTGAATATGAGATTCGAAAACCATATTAACTATATTATATTTATTATATGGAGTTTGTATTATATTTATATCTTAGATTTTGAAAAACGTGCTCTTCGTGCAATTGGCGAGTTTCAAGGGCAATATCGTTATCCCGTGAGTTTTCATCCCGGAAAAGATGTAATTCCACTTATCGAAGTAATGCGAGTTTATCAAGAAGCAGGTGGACAGCCTACAGAATTTGTTATGTCCCACATCGATCGTAAGATCCACGAATTTTTTTAAATTAATTTTCAAGTAACTCGTCTGTATAGAAAATATTGCTGATATACTAATTAAATAAATTTAACAGGTACATCGTTCTCAAGCAAAGAGGATCTCATGGAATTCATCGACGACACCAAATGTTACATTCAGTTTGATCAGTTTGGTGTGGAGTCTTCTTTCTATCAGTTGAATTCATTCATTGATATAATGTCAGATGCGCAGAGTATCAGACTTATTGCACTGCTAAAGCAAGATAAAAAACTGAACCGAGTTCTCATAAGTCACGATATTCACACCAAGCATAGGCTGGTATGTATTTTTCAACATTTCTACAATCAATTTTACATAATAAATTTCATCACTTACATAATTTTGTTTTTATCTCGGCGCATCACCTCTTTAATTTTATGATCTTATTTAACATACTTCTTATTATATTTGATCTTTAATTTACACGATTAAATAATAAATAATCTAAATTAAAATTCGAATTAACCCGATATTGAGGCAGAATCAGTTATAAATTATAAACGCCTGTGTGGAATTATTCTATTAATTTCTCAGACAGCTTTCGGCGGGCTTGGATATGCTCACATTACAAATAATGTTGTGCCAAACATGTTAAAAAGATATTTTACGGTGGAAGACATCATTCTTATAAGAAATAGTAATCCTTACAGATGGCTTAACCGGCTTAATCTATAATCTATTTGCTGGATAGATCGTATCAGATGGTGTAAAGCTCTATTTTAGATTATATAAAACATAAAATGATGAACATTTTTTTAATGTATTTTTTTCTTTACTGAATAATACTCTTATTTGCAACAGTCTATTTTTATTATTTTTACTCTATAATAAGCATATTATAAGTGTATTTTAAATATAAGGCAATATAAAATTCATATTTTATTTACAAGATACAATAATATATGACAACCTTTGGTAAGAATCAATACCTAACTGAGGGTAACTATATGTGGCTCTTTCAAACGCCACGGAAATTAAATAAGCGTGCGTGACATATTTATTATTTATATTATTTTGCTCTTTGGCGAAAGAATAATTTATGGAACGTACTATTCCATCGTACTATGAACAAGGTACGAAAATTATGCAAATTGGTTCGATAACACAGTGAAAATTTCTGCTTTTTCTTCCTTTTTCTTTTATCTTTTTTCAACGAAAAAACCTTTGATCTCTTCTCGATCTTTTTTAATTTTCGTCTCGATATATCACAATTCCTCCTCGAATTGCGAACTTCTCACAGGATTCATAGCGATAGAGACCGTCGACACCATTGTTTTACTGAAGTCCTTTGAATAATCTGCAGTTAAAAACAAAATCCAAATGCATTTTGATAGCAATAGAACTCACATTTTTACGTCAAATGTACAAAGAGAAAACAAATAACATAAAATAGCAAAACAAACTATTTTTATATACAATGAAATGTCTTGGTGAGACAATTATAGACATGTAATGTAATACAGAAGAAAACTACGTACAAAAGCCAGAAAAGATAGTATCATGAAATAATTAAAAAAGAAATTATTATATACATATATATATATATAATATCTAATATTGTAGTAATTTATTAATAAAAATTGAAAAAAATAGCTCAAACATAACACAAACCCTTTATTATATATTAAATTAATAATGAAAAACAAGCAATAAAAAATAATATTTAAGCAAATTAAGTCAACAATAAATTTAGCGATCTACGATGAAGAAGAAATGCAAAAGATCTTATTAATACATTGTTAATTTACGATCGGAGGGATACAACACACACTATTCGACGTCGCTCGCTCGTCGTTAAGCCCCAAGAAGGAGTTAAGAAGCTGCTAGGCATAAAAAGAAATTAATGATTAAAGGATGCGATTAAGGAATTGATTAGCGCGCATACACACACACATAGTGTTTGGTCACAGATAGCGATACCAAAACGGCAATCGAACAAAGTAAGAAGCAAACTTGTGGTGCCCTTGACTTACGAAGTGAGCGAGTGGTCGCGCGCTCGATCAGAGCTTGGTGAGTGTTACCGCGTGACGTTGCTCGAAGTTACCTTGGACGTAGTCCTGCTGATGAGCCTGAAGACCACCACCCGGTGCGCTGCTGCCATACGGAGTTAAGCTCACCCTTATCCACGAGCAACCGATCGCGCCGGCATACGCCTGTCTGTACTGCTTGTTCATGATAACGTAAATGATCGGATTCACACATGACGCGAAATACAGCAGCAGATATCCCAAAACGTGGCACTCTGAAATAATTCGATGTTCAGTGCGTGCGGTGATAACGGTGGAAGCAAACTACAGTAAATATATCGTTAAAAGAAGATCAAGAAAAGAGAAAAAATTGAAAGCCAATATACAGTTACTGCCATCAACGTATGTAGATAAATGTATTCGTACCGGGACATCTGACCTCCGCATCGGCCACCTTGACGATGGTGATCGGCAGGTAGCACGCAAGGAAGCTGATGAAAATCGCCAGCACCATCTTCGTGATTCTCCACTCGCTGCGCTTCTGCTTGATTTCCTTAATGTCCCTCCCAGGTGTATGAGGCGATTTTATCGTTGGTGCGGCGTGCTTTCGCATTCTTGATTCTGATCTACAACGTCAATTACAGATCCCGATTATTACTTTCATGTGGATGGAACGGTAAAAAATAAAAATAAAAATAAAAAAAAGATAATGCAAAGCCTTGGAAACGTGAATTACTTGTGCACCACCCAGAATATTTTGGTGTAACAGCCAACAATCACCACACATGGTATTAGAAACCCCATGACAAAAAGAAATGTCTTGGAAGTATTACCGTGACGGTCCTTGACGATGGAGCAAGTCTCCAGATTGCGATCATAATCGAATTTACCTGATAAAGAGAGTTATAAGCGAGTAAGTGACAAGCGATAAATAATACGTGATAAAGATAGTAAAACAAATTTTACGAATTTCATTCATTTTCTTTTATAAAATAATTTTTAATTCATCTTCTTTTATAAAAGAAGAATTATTTAAATATTAAAATTGCTTAAATTATTTAAAAATTATTTAATTATACAGAATGACATAAAAATAGCGACTCACCCCACACTCCCAACAGCGTAGGTATCTGCATCCCGTAAGAAAACAGCCAGCAGAAAACTATCATCGCGGCGATCCAGTATTTCTTGTAAACTTTGCTATATACGGCGTGATGCGCTATCATAATATACCTATGTAAAATCAAGAACTTTTTTTTTTTAGTTTCATATTGTACTTTAATTTTATTGCATTAATTTAGGAGAGATAACTCGTCTCTTAGAGGCCCGATCAAATTTCAAAATAAATTAAAGTAAACGTTTTAAGTAAATTAAATACTTAAGCTCGAGGATAGAAGATAGAGACACGCACCTGTTAATAGTAATAGCTGCTACAGACAGAAGACTGACACCGACATTTCCGTACCTGAAGAACGGCACGAAGATGCAGAAGAATCGTATATCCGCCCAGCCAGCATTGATGAATCTGATAGAATCGAACGGCAGCACCAGCAGACAGAACACGAAGTCCGCAATGCACAAACTATTTCATCGACATAAGTTGACTCACTTTTAATTGACGTAAACATTAACGGGAAAAAGTTGCTTTAAAACATTTTTAAGCGTTTAGAAATTATTCTTTTTTTTTACGTAGAATGACGCGATACGTTTGTATGAGATAATCACTCAACACGCAATAATGACTCATACTGTCGTACTAGTTCTTTAAACGCGTGTGCAAATTAGCTATTTATATCACACATATTTAAATAAGGAAATCTTTATTGATAAAATTAATAAAATAAAGTTAGGTATATAGATTGTTGTTATACCTTATAATAAAAGCCGCTGCGACGTTGCGAACTTTGGGATATTTACACAGAGCAACGATCGTTAGTAGATTACCAGCTAGACCAATTATCATGATAATGATCGCCACTACTGCCGCAAAAGTTCTCAAGGGTTTCGAGAATCTGCAACAGATAAATCAATTATAAAAACAATCCTACTTTGTTTATCGTGGTTCTCTTCATTGATAAGAATTGCATAATTTTCAATTAAATGGATTAATTAGTAATAAAAAGTATTAATATATCTATTGCTTAATTAATAATTAATCCAAAATCCAAAAAACATAATATTTTGCATAAATTTATTTTATATTGCTTTATGTTGCAGCGGTAATGAATTAATTTACTTTGTACGATGCTTAACGTTTAATTTCTTATGGTATATAAGGTATTTATTTATTTATTTCAAGATTCATTCAATCGCAATCTATTATATTAATATACACACATACACACAATCGGTAAATCTAATTATATTCTCGTATATTATAATTCGCGTAAATATCTTTTTATCTCTAATTTTAACTTGTATATATTTATTTACTTATGTCACACACAAAATGTGTGTAATATAAGTATAATCCCTCACTCATATAATATAAATAACAAATTATATATTATATTATAAAATTATATAATATAATTCTCCAACAGGTACATCTTGACGTTGATGGGAGGGCTTAATACTTGGAAGGTTTATCCTGAAAAGGAAGCTAAGTATACTCAAACGACTCGTGATAATGCTATAAAAGCGAGTCGCAAAAAAATCATACATACGTAATGAGCGCACATTAATACATTTTAATCGGTTTTCAGTGTATCGAGTAGTTCGTCGAGTTTTTGTGTGATATTTCGATTTTGTTCTAACAAGCGATTGAGTTTACATTAATTAAAATTTGATCGATTGCCCGATAAAGGCAGGATGGGATCGTCTTCGTTTTAGTTCCACCGCGTCTCTTGTCTCACACGCCATATGTCTTCATATGTAGTCGAACGGCTTCCTTTTCTTTTACATTTTGAAGACATATGTTTCGCTTTGACGAGTTGCGTAAAACAACTTAGCACAATTTCTATGATATCATAATGCTTATAAGCTGCTATGATATCATAACAAATAGTATCTAAGCAAATTCGAGTCACTCTGAGAATCCGATGTGTGATAAGATAAGAGTCGGGGCGAACATTATTCGCATCGATTCTATCCATCGATTTCATATTTGTTCGCTTCTCTTGCTCGAAATTATTTTGTTAATTTAAATTTAGGAGTACCATGCAAACATTGTGTCCCAAAATTCACTGCCAGAGAGAACACTGGAGATCTATGATATATGTTACGTAAACTATAGATTTCCAGTACTGGCAATAAATTTTGGAACACAGCCAAAGTGTGGCAGTGTTTCAACTGCGGGAGTGTCGTGTAAAGTGTCGTACATAATAAACTGAATGAATTTTTCGCGAGTGAATTGTACGAATTGCATGAACTTTTTATGAATACAACGTGTGAATTAACGAATTCTATCGACCTTAACAATTCTGACAATTTGAAAAGAGGGAGAGGTCTCTAGGAGAGGCATCGGACAATTGATGACAATTTGATGGACATTGTGACTGAAATATTACAAAAGTATGCTTTAAAAAGATCAACGCATACCTTGACAATTCCGCATCGACGATAGTGTTTTGCGTGACGTTGTCCATGACATGGGGCAACCACGTAGCCGTACTATCCATTGTACCAGCCATGCCAAAGGTGTCGAGATTCTGATTCAACGATTCCATTTGGCCTCGATCGACCTCGAAGACCTGCACGAACAAAAAAATGGAATTAAATATTCAATCTGTGTTCTCCTCGGTAAGTGATTAAAGCAGATGATTAACAAGTATTATAATTTATGAGTACAAATATTTTTGATGAAAAAATAACCGAAACAACGATTTCTTAAATTAGTAATTAGTATATCTACCGCTATCTGTCGCTCAAGTGATTTACCTTAGAAATCAGAAAGACATTCAGCGAGAACAGAATTGATATAAATAAACCGCTCGCTCATTTCTCGATGATTATTAGTAGGCATGCTCGGGATCAATTATTAACGCGAGACACAAAACAGATAGACGTGGAATTTCCGAGGAGGAAACCACGATCTAAAATTCCAGTACGCACGGTAAAGCTGGTTTGATGTAAAGCGGATGCGACAATGCTTGTTTTACAATTGTTTCCTGAATCGCGACAGAGAAACACGCGTTGCAGTGCACTAATATACCGTTCGTCATATTATGATTCATCTATTGATATTTTTATAGAGTTCCAATATAACAGAAAAATATATACTTTATAATTTATTAAAAAATTTAAAAATAATTATAAAATCTCTTATAAAAATAATATTAGATTACAATATATATTTGTGTATCTCATTAATATGTGCCTAAATTTGCTGAAGACTTTAGAGTCCACAATAGCGGTTGTCTGATGACGCGTAGGACGTTTGACATTTGCGTTATGCAAATATCGCGTGCGCAAGGCGCATTAAAATAATTCCCCGACGTGCACAATGGTTGGAGAACGACTTACGTTAAGGAAAAGAGACTAAGAATTTATTATTATTTATGGGCGCCACCGACGGAAACAGGTCGTCTGGAGGATTTATAGATGATAATACTCCAGACGCTTTCAGACAATGATGCCTCTCTGATTCTTCGACATCCTTCAACATGCTCGAATATATTTAAATACTTTACTTTTACTTTATTTGGAAAATACAAATTCGAAACTGACTGACATTTTGGAATCGAAATATTATCGGAATATATATATCAACATTTAGAAATTTTTAATTCACAATATATATGGTGTTTTTTTTTCACTCCTTATTTTATCTCGTTCTTCAATCACTGAATCGTAGCCACAACACCAAATAGTTGCGATTACTAAACAATCATTATAGATCATCGGTATATGAGTCATTTACGTTATCAAAACATGTGTGACACGCGGTATTAGAAACTCAGAAGGAGCACGTATCAATTTCCTGTAATGTGAATAGTTTCTAGATACTGATATTATTATCAGGGCTTATTATATTTTTAACAAATTTTCTATTTAAATTAATTTTATTTAAAATTACATATGTATATATACATATAAAATCTCAATTTGTATAATTTTTATATTTTATTTTTCTGTGATAGTTTTATAAAAAAACTTCTGTGAATTCAGAATTGCATAAATTTATTTATTGATCAGCGATTGTGATCTATATGTAAACACACGTTGCAAAGGGTGCGTTGGATTTAGTAAACTGAGGTTAAACTACAGTGCATTAACCCCGATTGAGTTTAATTAGGGGAAATTAACGGACACCCGGTACTAGGCGTCCCCTTGTGCGACAAAAAAAGCGATGAAAGCTACGGAAGACTATGGGAACGCACCAACGCGTCGCATCGGTTGCGTCGTTGTTTCGCTTTACATATCTTGTCACCAACTATTGACAAAATAGTTTGATATTATCTCGTTTTAATGAATAATTAATTATATTATTAAATAAATTTTTACAAACTTAAATATAGGAAGAGATCGGAGAAGCCAAGAAGAAAAATCGAAATCAAATCTAAAAATCTTAATTAAATTATAATTTATATATATTTGAAAAATATATACTTTAAGTGTTGCTCTATCTTTTTCTTAAATTAAAAAAATTATATATTAGTTATTTATTTTTATTATATTATTACACAAAAAGTAGACTTTTGTCGAGCATAATCGAGTGTAATCAAGTGTAATCGATTATTTCGAATCTGTGCGAAATCTAAATGGCACGAATGACTGATTCGAGAAGGGCGTGTATTTGACTTTTATATCAACTTGATAAGCAAAGTTAATCGGCAGCACGTCAACGGAAGAAGACGCGATGTGAAACCGCGAACATTATTTTTTATTCCGTGGAAGTCCTCGGTGATGAACTGACGTCATCGAATGATTTCCGTGTTAATCACGCGACGAACGGCAATGAATGAGTCAAGTTGAGTCACGGTGAAAGCACCTAGATCGAGTCGGTGCGAGTTGTCGATGCGTCGTCGACTGGCATCTCGTTGTATAATCAAGCACATTTCTGATAAAAAGTGCTCTTTAATTCTTTGTCTGAATAAATTTATATTTATCAGAGGCCTATCGAGCGAGATTTTATACAGTCAACTCCGATATAAATTAACATCGATAACATCGATAGCGTCGATCGTATTATATACCCGTATCGTATTATTTATTCAGCTTTGTCTTTCCGGTACCCATTAAAAGACTGAATACATATTTAATTATGTAAATCGCCTGAATTAAAATTAAATATTGCAAAGCGCAATCTTTATATCAACGCAAAAAAATACACATGAATATATAAACAATAACATAAATTTCTTTTATTTAAATTTGTTACGCGGTTTCTTGCACCTTTTTTATATTTTTTTTATAATATAAACAATCGCAATATATAAATAATGAGGGCGAAAAGACAGTGTACGTACATATATGACTTGAGTGCAAGATCGTTGAAAGTCGCGATCGAGGTGCTACTACTCTCGTATCCCACCCAGAGCACCACGTGGTGTGGATGTCAAACGTCTGCACTTACGGTACAAAACATGTGTCGTGCTATTCATACTGTGCATTTAGCGCTAAATACGCTGTAGTTAAGACATGCCCTTTATCGGCTCATTTAACGTGTTTCCCTCATGAATTTTTATGTGAAAAAATATATAGAGAATATTATAACTTATTAAAAATTTTCTTAGAATTAATATCACAGACTAAGACTTAACAATAATTTAATAAAAATCTTGAAATTTTAAGAAATTTATATTTTTTACTTGGAAAGATTAATTAATTTTGCGAAATAATTGTTTATAATATTTTTTTATTATACATATATAAGCTTTATGTAAAATTTAAAATTGTTTTCGAATGAAATGTGTGTATTTGAAAATCTACTTTTACATTAATTCTTGGTATAGTCCAGCTAATTGAATACTACTCCACTCATCACAATTATCTCCACGTCATGTTTCTAAATTGCCTTGGGACTTTGCTATGGTTTTTTGCTCTGTTCTCGGCGTTGGTCCCTCAGAATCTGGCAGACCAACTTGACATCGACAGAATTCACACGAGCAAAAAATATAATGACAATTTTTTAAAGAATCATTTCTTCAAATATTCGAATAATTATCTCTTTCACATGCTTTTTTATTTCTTTTTTTAAAGGAAGAAAACTTTGGCCGATTAACTTCTATAGAAATCACTCTTGTTTCGTAAAATTAAATTAATGCATTAAGATCTAAAGAAGAAAAATATCTAACTAAGAGAAAGAGAGAATAAAAGAGTGATATTTGTCACTTACCGCTCGTCAATTCTTGTTACTTTAAACCAGTCATAAATCCGTCAACGTGATAGATAACGGAGAGGCGGAAAGACCTTTGTTGAGTAAAGAATACGACCGAGAAATGTAAAAATTCTCAATGTCCTTCCGCTTAAACGCGTCCTTGCGTATGTGTTCCTCACCAGAAATGATCAAAGTCGCTTTACAATATCAGACTGAGTATTTAAGCGTTGCTTCTTTGGAAAAAGAATAATTCTGGATAATTCTTATCGACCGTCTAATTATCAAACGTGCATCACATGATACGTATAAAGTCTTTGTTGATACTCTAATGACTAGAACATTTATTTAATGTCTCTTTGATTTGTCATTAAATGATTTTATTTTCTTCTTCTTTTTAACTATATCTTTCTTTCCAATTTTATTATAATAATTTAATTTCACCAAATATGACTAAATTCTATAGAATTCACTTGTCGTATCTTCCCCTTAAAAAGATGACTTGATACCTTTGAAAAAGCCGTCGATTTTCGCTGATCACGAAATAATTTGTTCACATTCGTTATTAGTTCACAAAAATTCACTTATTTTAATTAAATATTATTTCAAACTTTTATTTAAAGTCTTATCATCTTTATTGTAAATTGCGTGACATCTGCCGAACGATTACGATTTCCTTGTAACTTGGCGATTTCGACCGCTTGATTCTTCGGGACCGACTCGGATCATACTGTCTCTCTGGGAATCTTATTTCAATTTTTTTTCAAAAAATTTTGTTATTTAACCAAACGACACTCATCGTTTTGCATTTTTTCGCGGTGATTCGCGATTTCGACTGCGCGCGATCGATTCTGCGGGGACCGGAGTTATAGCTCGGGGACCACTGGCGCGAACCGTGTGGCGGGCACCGCGTATGCGTCAGCGTCACCATGGATAGACTGCTGCTTACCCAGCATTCCGTCAGATTGTACACACGCTAGATACGGGCCCCGCGGGTAGGCGGCCACGGGAGAAGGAGGTGATGAAGAAAGAGCGAGAGAGAGGGAGAGAGAATGCGGGGGAGAGCAGCTCAATGACGATGCGAGAGCACATCTGCACCCAAGATCCGGGGACCCGGTTGACCCTTCCGTTGTGACACACCGTGCTGTTTCTTTGTAAATTGCACGGAATGTGCTGCAATTGCGATATGCCACGTTTTTTTGTTCATTTTGCGTAATCAGGATAACAGCGATGTATGTATACGGATACCTATATCTATATTACAAGCAATCTTCATTGCCATCGCTTATTTTTTTAAATTTTTGCCGAACATGCAGGATGAATCTATAAGATATAATATAAAAAAATTTTAGTCTTAATTCTATTTTTATCAAAAAGAATTTTAAAATTCCAGATAAAATCTTTCTCTTTTAATCTATAAATAATTTTTATTTCGATGATTTCTATTTACATAAAATTTTAATTAAAGGTGCACATTATAAAAAAATATTAATAATTGCAAGTAATTAGATAGAAAACAAAATATTTTATATATTTGGCATATATATTGCATAGTTATAAACTAACTTATTGTGATTAATAAATGGAGGGAAATCAAGGTGCAGGCGAATTACCGTATTTAGCAAATTCGCGCGAGAACTTGTAATCGAGTGACCGCGAGCCGATAAGATCGTCGCTCTTAATATCGCGGTCATGCACGGTATTTATTACTTAAGCAATCGAAAACATGGCGAGAGTGAATTAGACTTAACAAAGTGGAACCGATCAGTCGCATTAATTGGAATGACTGAATCAAACATCTCGCTGGATTCACATAGAGGCGACCCGCATCCAACTGCCTATAATTGTTCGAAATTAACACGGTCTTCTCGAATCTCTCGCTCTTTAATTGGTTTTTAGACACGCTATTCTGTGTTAAAAGAGCATCAGCATAAGTACAATAGATCTATTCCAATCAAATGTAATGTTAATTAAGTATGTAATAATTAGTAATATGTGATTGTATGTGTGCGGCGTCCTAGATTTGCCGGATGTTCTTCCGGCGTGCTACAGATATACTAGATGAGAAATTGAATATATCAATAGCCATATAATAATTAAGCATTGAGAATTTAAAAAAATTGTCAACTTACGATAATAAATAAAAGTCTTAATTTTCAATTAACTGTTAGCCAAAGAGAAATATTTCGTTGAGAAAACATTAATTTTAGAAATTGTCTGAATATGGATTCTTTAGAATCCATTGTTAAAAAATAATATGGTAAAATAAAGGAAGACATATTTTATAAATTATTTACATAATTTCTTACATCATGTAAAATATTTATAAATCGCGTATGATTCACTGATTATTAATTCTAATTTCTAATTTTCCGTAATATTAATTATTGTTATACCGTTAAATGATCTTAAGATTACACATTTTTCTACAAATTCCACTAATTTAATATTAAAATATATTAAGAAAATACGAACGATTAATTGCTCTTACAATATATATTTTTATGATAACATTCCTCGTCTTCTCTAGATGCAAGCAATTGCCAGAGATCTCGATATTCCCTAAATTCGGACAGACAGCGAACCGGAGAAACGCACTTCCGACTCGCTCGCTTCCGCTTGCGGGCGTTCGTACACAGCTGGAGACTCTTTCC